ATGGCTCTGGTCTGTAATCTTAGCTACTCAGGAGGCTGAGACCTGAGGTTTGTAGTTCAAAGCCAGCTTGGGCAGGAAAATCTATGAGACTCTTATTTCTAATTAGCCACCAAAAATTTGAAAATAGAGCTATGGCTCAAGTAGTAGAGTACCAGCCTTGAGTGAAAAAGGAACAGTACCCAGGCCATCCTATTTCTTAAGAAGAGCATGCAAAATAGGATGGAAAAAGGAGCTCCCAGAAATGAAAATAAGAGCTTAGATCTGTATTGTGTTGCAGGGGTACAAGGAAAGTGCAAGAAAGGACAGGATTGTGTAGAAAAACGAGGTACCACTGTCCTAGACTCCTCTTTGATCCCTTCTGGCTCACCCCTTGCCCTTGCTTAGAGACCGAAGTGGGCTCAAAGCTCTCCTAAAACAAATGTTGAACCCTAACTTCATAAAACAACCCAAATGGGTCCAGTACCCATGGATCATGGACTCCTTGAGTCCAGTGACCTTGGCTGCTTGTTTCCATGGTAACAGCTCACATCCCAAACTGTTCCTTCCTGTGTGAGAGAAGGCATTTCAGCAATAGAGGAAGACAGAATTCAACTGTGGAGTGTTTTTTCCTCTCTCTTTCTCTCTCTCTCTCTCTCTCTGTTATGACCCTTCTCCTTTAGCAAATCATGTCCTTTTTCTGAGCACTGCAGTCTCCTGAGAGAAGCTCAGAAGAGGATGTTTCTGTGACTTTATTTGCAGATGCAAGCCCAGGCCACAGAGTTAAAAGGAGCAGCCCGAAGCCTCTTTTCCTCCAGTTTCATGTGATGCTCAGCGTTTCTCAAGGCAGTTCGCTTTTCATTTTCATGAACAGTTCCCCAAAGAGAAGGGCCAGTGTGTTGTCCTCAGGTTAAAAGAGAGAGGTCGGGAGGTTGGGCAGCTCCCCAACAGCCACCGAGCGCACAGTAGCCGTGAAGTCTAGAAAGCCAGACACAACAGGTCCGAGCATCTTCAGCCTCCCCTTAGCCATGCCCTGCCCTCCCGCCGTGCAGCCCAGCCCGCACCTCCACCCCTGTCTACTCCTGTCTCCTCCAGCCCTGGACTCTGCCTTCAGCCCCATCCTCATGGCAGGCCTGCTGACTCCACCAAGGAGGATTTGAAGGAACCGGTATGGAACAAATGTGAGGTCTGGATCTGGAATTTAGATGACAGGGTTCTGCCCGTTCCACAATGTCTCGGGTAAGAACAGCACTTTTACAGGATGATAAATGACCTTTCTTCAGCTGAGCCCTGCAAGAGCACATCTGATGACCACACACCCTCCAATCACTGCTCCCAGCGCACCATGGAGTGCACTTTCCACCAGGACCATGAGCCAAGAGCACTCATTCCTTGGCTCGATTTCAGTCCTTCCCTTCCCGGTAGTTTAGATCCCATGATTCTGTCCACGAAAGAAATCTTCTCCGCAGCATCCCTGCCTGACTCTGACGTACAGAGGTGTAATTAGAGCAGTAAGGAGCCAGCAGGGCCTTCCATTTATCTCATCCCTTCACATGGAAGTGTTTCTAAATATGCTTCTCATATCCTAGGTGCACAGGCCAGAGTCCTTTCTTGCTTTTTCACATGCATGAGTAAATCCACACAGACTAAACCCCTGGGGCTTTAGGTTCTGCTTAGAAGTTCTTTTTTTTTTTAAGAAAACAAATATTCCATTAAAACGACATAGTGTACTCTGCATATTTTTAGGACAATTAGAGTTTAGAATTCCCTCTTCTTCCGCCCATGGTAAGAAAACTTTTTTGTCTTAACTATTTCCTGACCAAGAACGTCCCAAAGCTTGGATAAATTGAAAGAATTTCTTGTCTTTTGAGACAAGCTTCTCAACCAGGCACCAGCAGCCATTGCCAGTAACTCTAGCTACTGGGGAGGCAGAGATCTGAGGATTGTGGTTCAAAGTCAGCCTAGGCAAGATAGTTTTATCTCTAGTTAATCAGCCAAAAGCCAGAAGTGGATATGTGGCTCAAGTGATAGAGTGCCAACCTTAAGCAAAAGAGCTCAGGGACAGTGCCCAGGCACAGAAGTTCAAGCCTCAGTACAAGCATAATATTATTAATATTACTATTAATAATAAATCATCTGTTGTCAAATATCTACTGATAGACTGAGAACCCTTGACATTATTTGGGAAATATCTGGCTGTCTCATTTCAATACCAGGTAAATTTGTCAGGTAAATAATAACTATGTGTAAGCTTAAAGAAAATTGAACTTGAAGTAGAAAAGCCAAACTCCTAAGAAACAAAGAACTGTAAAAGTGAGGACACTTTATACCATGTGCTTGGTTTAAAAAATGGGTCACAGGTTTTGGTGATTTTTCTTTAGCATTTCTGACTGAGGTGGAGGGGGATACCTTATTTAAAAAAAAAGAGGCTGCACAGGCTAGCCATGTCTCAGCCCTGGGCAAAGAGATACAGAAAGACAAAAAGAGAGGAACCTATAAATGAGACTTAATAGGGAGGAGACAGGGAAAGGAAGACATAACCCCAACTAATCATCTCTGTGCTTCGCCATGCCCATACTGTTGTCCTAGTGTAGACCAGGCAACACCCTGCCCATGAGCCCGAGATGCTGGGCCACACATGTAGATCCCCGCTGCCAAGTCGGCATGCAAATCAAATGTTTGATTGCAACCAAATTTGGAACAACATCTTAACAGCACTTGCCAAGTCTCCACTCAGTCCAAAGATTTTGCACAATTGATGCAAAACTATCCTCCTCGGTTTCTTTTCCATTCATTGCAAAGCCGAGGAAAGCCCATATCAGAAGGTGGGAGAGCCATGGCTCAGGAAGAAAAAAAATGTCTGACTTGGAAGATGAATCAAATCCAGGCATTACTTGAAGCATATACCTGTGATGTTAAAAAAAAAAAAAAACAGCCACAACTAAGAGTTAGGGAAAAATGGAAAAGAATGATGGACAAGGCTGGTCAAGATGCATTGCCCTCACAAACTGACACGTTGAATGGAAACCCCTTTGCACTTAAAGGTAATGATCACTGTACTTGCAAACTGACCTATTGAATGAAAACCTTCTTATAGTACTTAAAGATAATTTTTAAAAGGCAAGATTAAAGACAAACTTTAATCCAGATGTCATATCAAAGCATGAAAGAAAGCACTCAAGACTTCAAAGGGAAAAACGTGTTTATTTAAATTAAAAAATATTGTGAAAATTACAAACCATTAAATACAAAAGACAATTTTATACAACTCAATAGAATAAGAAGGAATTATATACATCACTTGTTAATAGGCACAAAGATAGACTTGCACCGCACTTTGAGAATTAAGCAATGGAAAATGTGACTGCCACAGCACACATGCTTGTCGCAGTAAAATTTCAGAATTCAAGTGATTCCAGGCAAGAGGCCAAACTTAACTTGGCTTCTTTCAACTTAAATGGCCCTCTTTGGAGCAAATCCACACTCTGAATTTTAAAGTGAACAGAGGGCCCTCTCCCCTCCCCCACAAAGAAACATAAATTTCCTCTAGCCCTGTGTCAAAGCGACAGATAAACCTGCTTCTCCACTGTTAACCCTTCCCTGGGAACCATAGTGAACTGGGTATCTTCAATCTAGGAAGAAAAACAATAATGTTGTTTGTGGGGGGGGTTGTTATTGCTGTTTGCTTTGCTAGAATTAAACTTGACCTTTCGGTATGCTCTTCTCCATCTTTCATGTCTTCACAAGCAGAAAGGGTCTGCTACAAGCTATGGAGCACAAGAATGCATGTTGGCATTTTCAAACACTCCTGAGCATTTCCTTGATGACTCCTTGGCCCCTCAGCCATGAGTGTGAACATCGCATCAGTCCAAGGAGCAACGGTGTTGAAGAAAATGTGGTCACTGCCTCTTGAGTTCCAATCCTGGGAAAACTACAGCAGAGATGGTTGATGATTCTCTCCAAATTCCCCAGTTACATGTATTTAGAGTCTCCAACTGCTCCTTTAAATCAGCAGATCCTTTTCCAGACTTAACTGGCCAAAGGGGAAATATTTGGTCCAAGCTTCCTCACACCAAGCTATAAAGGATTTGTCACAGAGTCCTAAATCTAAAGACATCTCCCAGCCCCCTGGGGCTGCACATCCGCGGGAGCCTCATGAAGGCAACCAGCCTCATGATGGCATGCCCGAGACCACACAGCAAATGCGCTTCAGGACATCGGCAAGCACAGAACTTGGACCCCAGCTCTAAGCTATCTCTGCCTGAGCATGCCCTCCCTGCTAGGCCTCAGCTACGTGACAAAATACCACATTGTGAAGACCCACAGTGGGTCTTCCTTCAGTTCAGAGAAGCAGGCTGGGAAAATGAGAACAGGCAATGTGAATAGCTTCGTCTTACACAACCCTACCATTACCCCTTCTGGAAGGACCAGAAGAAGCCCCTTGCACACCAAATTCAGAGTATAGATTCCTTTCTAAGGAAGATCTCTAACCAAAAGAAAGTCATACCAGCATGAGAAGCTGGATGGTCACAAGTCAGAGAGTTCAAGCTCCTAGGGGAGGCAAAAGATCAAAATAGCAGATCATCTCTTATGACAACCCCTCAACTAAGGTTAATAGGTTTAATAATGGCTTTCTTTCCTTCGAATATGCAAACAGGCTGGTTTCAAAAAATCCAGCTTTTACCTACCAAAAATCTTCCATCAAATGTCCCTCTCTGAACCAAAAGACTTCCAAAAAATTCTTGTAACACTCTGTGATCTAATGCCACAGGTACACAGTAGAGATACTTACAGCCAATCAGATCTAGAAGAACAAAGTTCCAGGCAAATTAGCAAAGCAGAACTAGTCCCTCTGGCTGCCTTGGGCATTTGACAGGTCTGAGAATTAGAAGATGCTGTAGAAGTTTCCAAGATCATCCAGTGAGAATATGACAAGCCATCTTGCAGGCAAATTCTGAACAGGGTCCCCAACACCTAGACCCCAAAGGACATATACACCCTGCACATCTTTAGGGGTTTTGTTCTTTTTTTTCAGTAGTGGGGTCAAACCCCTGGCACTTCCAGGACTCTGACTGAGCCTGGTTCACTGGGCCCCTCCTTTCATGTTGGAGATTTGCCGAGGGTCTTTCAAAGTGACCGCCGCACTGCCAGAGTGAGAGCAGACACTTGGAAAATGTCTTTCCTCTTTCTCAGGGTGACGGTGGCTTGGTGGGGCTACCTCTGCAGGCCAAGGGGGTGCTAGGAATTCTGGTGAATGTTCTCCGAGGAGCCTTCGCTGCTTTCGTTGAGAGGCGTCTCAGAAGTCTCCTCCAGCTCATCGTCAGCGCCCTCCTCCTGGATGGTGAGGTGCACATCAGGAGAGGAGGACTCAGAGCTCACGCTGTCCCCCTCCATGGAGCAGAGGGTGCAGGACAGGGCCGGCGCCACACTTTCCTGCAACATGTTCAGCATCATGGGCACCGGCACTGACCTCAGGGGCAGGGGCTTCATGGCCTCCCCCCACAGCCTCTCCTCATCTTTGTAAAGCAGCAGGAGGCTGGACTTCTTCTTCTCTCGCCTCTTGGATTTCATGTAGCCCAACATGATTCCGATTAAGAAAACACCATAGAAGGACATGACCACGAGAATATAGAAGTATTCGTTACCATGGCCATTGCTGACCGCATGAGACCCCATGGGGCTGCTGGAGGCCGCAGCATTGGGGTGTGTGCTGTTCAGAGGCTCCATCCTCAGCATTGACGCAGCACTCACACAGTAGTGATCTGGGAAGAAAGTTGCACCACGTTAGAGCTCTCCCCTAGACCACATGTTCAGACAGGAAGGTGAACACAGGGTTTGCAGACTGGAAATATCCTCTCCCACACACCCCCCAAAAAATAATTCTAATTGCATAAAAGAAATAGCAGTCAAGAAGTCCCACCAAACAGTTAACAGCTAAATTAGCTATGACAGCCAGGAGAGTGTGGGGGAGAATCCAAGGGGAGGGGAAAAAGAAGAACTTTCATTTTTAGTCGATTCACATCTACTGTATTGGAGTTCATAAAGCGAGCATGTGTTCCTATATCCTTAAAATGTTAAGTGTTTAGACAGGAAGCACAGAGAAAAGAGTATCTTAAACAATGGCAAGGCACCCTGGAACGGACAGCACACTTCTTCCCTTTGCTTCTACAGCTTAAACTTTTTCATTCAAAGCAAAGTTCCCTGAACACGAATACCAAAAAAAAAAAAGAAGCCAAAAGAAAAGAAAACTGCATCTACTCCTCGTTATCCATATTACTCTTGCAAAATGTTTCTGAAGCCAGTTTGCAATGCTGACTTACCACAGGCTGACAATTTGTCCCGAGTATTGAATTCCTAAATCAGCAAGTTCAAGAGTGATCGTCTTCTGGGTCCAGCTCTGCACGCACTCTGACAGCTCCGCTGCTCTGGTGGGGATATATACTCAAGAAATGCATCGTCACGTGTTCTGGGAGGAAAATTTACAACAGAGGTTGACGGTGGCCGAGTGAGCAGTGAACTCTCCAAGCCTGTGGTTCAACTCACCAAAGTTTGCAGCTGTGTAAAGAAAAGGGCTGAGAATTAAGAACTGTCTCCTCCTGTCCCAGGGTGCAGCCAAAATGTTCAGGTGGCCATGAAAGTAAGTAGAAAGAAGAGATAAGCACTGGCTAAGGTCGAGTGTGAGCCTTAGTCCATCCTCATTGAAAATGCGCAGATGCTTGCATTTCTCTACAGGAACATAAACATTACATTACCTATAGGTTTACAGAGGCAATCACATCCCATAATCTGAATGATGATAGTTGGAAGCAAGTTTGAAAAGTACAGTCAAGAAAGAAGGGCTTAGCCAGGCACCAGTGGCTCATACCTGTAATCCTAGCTACTCGGGAGGCTGAGATCTGAGGATCATGGTTCAAAGCCAGCCTGGGCAAGAAAGCCCACAAGACTCTTATCTCCAATTAAACACCAGAAAACCAGAAGTGGTGCTATGGCTCAAGTGGTAGAACACTAGCCTTAAGCTGAAGAGCTGAGGACAGCGCCCAGGCCCAGAGTTCAAGCCCCACGACTGACCAAGAAAAAAAAAGGGGGGGCTTGAGCAAGGTGCCAGTGGCTCATGTCTGTAATCTTGGCTACTCAGGAGGCTAAGATTGGAGAATCGTTGTTCAAAGCCAGCCCAGACAGAAAAGTCCATGAGATTGTTTATCTCTAATAACTACTCAGAAAATCTGCAAGTGGGGGCTGGGAAGGTAGCTCAGTGGTAGAGCGCTTGCCTTGCATGCATGAGGCCCTGGGTTCAATTCCTCAGCACCACATAAGCAAAAAGAAAGAAGCCGGAAGTGGCACTGTGGCTCAAGTGGTAGAGCGCTAGCCTTGAGCTGAGGAGCTGAGGGACAGCACCCAGGCCCAGAGTTCAGGCCCCACGACCGGACCCAAAAAAAAAGGAAAAAAAAGAAAATCTGCAAGTGGCACTGTGGCTCAAGTGGTAGAGCATTAGGGGCTTAGGGACAGAATCCAGGCCCTAAATTCAAATCTCAAGACCTACAAAAAAAGGGGGGCCTTAAATTTCAGTTCTTCTATTAACTATGCAAATCTTATAAATCCTTCCAGAAACTTCTCCCTCCTAAGAATCTGATCAAGTACAATTAGTGGGTACAGGGGTATAGGGGAGGGGAAACAGTTAATGCCTTCAGCAGATAGAATATGAACCATATGATTTTAAAACTCCGTTTAGCTTAACTGCTCTAAGACTGAAGACTGGCTGGTGTGGGTTAGACTTTTTTTTTTAATCATAAAAGGATCCATTTGGGTTGTTTTATGAAGTTGGGGGTTCAACATTTGCTTTAGGAGAAGAGCTTTGAGCCCACTTCGGCCTCTAGGCAAGGGCAAGGGGTGAGCCAGAAGGGATCAAAGAGGAGTCCGGGACAGTGGTACCTCTTTTGTTACACAATCCTGTCCTTTCTTGCCTTTCCATGTACTCCTGCAACACTTAATACAGATCTCAGATCTTGTTCTCATCTCTGGGAGCTCCTTTTTCCATCCTATTTTGCATGCTCTTCTTAAGAAATAGGATGGCCTGGGGACTGTTCCTTTTTCACTCCAGGCTTGGGGTCTCTGCCACCTCTGGTGCCCACTGGGTTCTGCCCATATAGATGTTTCTACCAGAGATCAGTGAAGCAACGCAAGCAAAATGCTGAGTGACTCTGCCAGAAGAGCCAGAAGACCGTGCTCAGTTTATGATTTTTGTTTTCATGTTGACAGTACCCCCATTGCTGCCAAAGGCTCCTCATCGCTTTCTGATGAGCACGTGTCTGTCTCCAGCTTTGCCATTGCTGCTCTTTCCCTTTCTGTTCCTCCATTACCCCAGGAATGAAATGTTTGCAAGCTCATAACAATTAGCTCAGCATTATCTCCAGCTCTCTTTTAGTACAGTGTGGACAAAACTGTGCTGGCAAACAATGGCATAAACAAAAACCACCTAGAAAGTGCATTCTGCACTCAAATTAATAATTACATCCACTGTACATCATAGCTGCAGAAGACAACAATATTAAAGAAGTAAATCTACTGGTCGCTATGCAGGATTCTGAGATCTGTGGACTGAAGTATGAAGCCAAAAAAGGGTGGGAAGTAGAGCTGAGTAGAGCTGTGGCTCAAGCAGTTGAGCTCCAGTGAAAAAGCTGGGGAATAGCACCCAGGCATGTACTGGCATACAAAGAAGGGAGGGAGGGAGGGAGAGAGAGAGACAGAGACAGAGACAGAGAAGGAGGCAGGGAGGAAGGGAGGGAGGGAGGGAGAGAGAGAGGGAGGGAGGACAGAGAGGGAGGAGAGAAGAGATTAAAAGAGAGAGGTAAGAAGAAAGGGAGGAAGGAATGAAGAAAGGAGAGGAGGGAAGGGAGATGGAAGAAAGGAGAGAGGGAAGAAAGCAGGGAAGGGAGAAAGGAAGGAAGGAAGGAAGAAAAGAAAGAAAGAAAGAAGAAAGAAGGAAATCATCTTATAAATACCTTTTTCTAATCTGTGACCTGTATTTCTATTTGCTTAACATTCCTTTTTGGCAGTACTGCAGTTTTAACTCAGAGCCTTGAACTTGCTAGGTAGGCTTGATACTCTACCACTTGAACCATGCTTCTACCCTGCTTTTCATTGATTATTTTTGGTGATGGAGTCTAGCAAACTTTTCTATCTGCGCAGTATGATCCTCTGGCTGAGCTTCCTCACGGGCTATGATTACTGGCAGGAGCCACTAGTGCCTGGTTTCACAGTGCCTTTAAAAGAGCAAACATGTCTTAATACTGATGAAGTCCAACTTATCAAAATTCCTTATGGTTGTGTGTATGAGTCTTCTCAGAAATGTTTGCTTAACCCCAGATCATGAAGATTTTCTTTTACAAGGTTTATGGTTGCTTTATATACTTAGAATTATTAATCATTTCAAGTTAATTTTGTTGTATGATGCAAAGCATTGAGTAGAAAACTTTTTATCTTATGGAAAGCCTGTTACTCCCACAACCTTCATTGAAAAGGCCATCTTTTCCCTGTTGGATTATCTTGGAATTTTTGTCAAAAAAAATTGTATATGTGCAGTTAACCATATATGTGCAGGTTTATTTCTGATCTCTATTCTGCTCATTTGATCTACCTTGGTGTCATTATGGCAGTACTCTAAAAAAAACAAAAACTATTTTCAACTAACAGCTTAAGTAAGTCTGACTACACCACAATCAACATCTAGTTTAAGTGTCTATTGTGAGCCAGATTCACACCAATCCTGAGAGGTAAGTATGATCACAAGCCACTCCATTGACAAGAAAACCAAAGGACAAAAGGCCTAAGCAAACTATTCAAAGTCACGCCATTAGTGACAAAGTAGGAGTTGAACACAGACCTATGCAATTCCAAAACCCTCTTGTTTCCACAACTTTGTCTCATTGAATGGGACCCAAGAAAGAAAGAAAGAAGTAGAAAGAGGAGGGCTGATATCTTTATAAATCTTTCAGTTAAAACATAACGTACGTAAATTCTACTGCATGCATATCTGAATACAACATGTTTTCTTTTTTGGGGGGTCTGGTCGTGGGGCCTGAACTCTGGGCCTGGGCGCTGTCCCTCAGCTCTTCAGCTCAAGGCGAGCGCTCTACCACTTGAGCCACAGCACCACT